TAAACATAGCTTTAATAATAACTTTATGCATTAAAATGATATAATACACTAATATGTACTTTACTTTTTGGTGGTGTTTGTTTGGAAGGATTGACCCATGCGAGACTAATAGTTTATCCGAACTAATAGTCCATTGTTCGATTGAAATTTTTTGCACCGGACTAATAGTCCATCTAGATTATTAATCCAAATATGTTGGACTATTATATCCCATGGGGGATGGGACACAAATCATGGGATAACTCATCCCATGAGACTAGTTAATGAAATTACTTTTTTGACCATCTACTATTTAATATCTTTTTAAAAATAAAATTTATTTATTAAATTATTTATACTTAATTTATTTATTAATTATTTATACTTAATAAATTTATTTATTTTAATAATATGGTATTAATTATACTTGATAAAGTAAAATAAAATTTAAAAATCTCAACTACAAATTAAAATAAATTTATATAATTTTTATTAATATTCTATTTATTTAATTTTTTTAAAGTTCTAGTAAAAAAGTAAAATATAATTTATAATTCAAAAGGGCAAAATAGTCTTTTGAGTATTTATCATTCTCCATAATATCTCAAACAAACATAGGATTCAATAGAATAGTCTAATCCAGATATCTAATCCCATGACTAAACAAACATAGAATACAAATTCAATCTAACCAAATAGTCTGGGGACAATATATCTTAGAATTAACAATCTGATAGATTACAATTCCCTCTTATCTAATCCGTCCAAACAAACACACCCTTTTGATATAGGTGAGATGAGTGTAGGGTTACTCAAATTCAAATTCGATTTGTACTTAGTTTGTCAAAAATTTATTTAAGATTCTCTCGTTATATAAATAAACAAAACAAATTTAAAATTTATTAAGTTTTTTAGTTAAACTTAAACCCCTTACCACTTAACAACTCGGTCATTTGTTATAAAAAAAATCCTACTACTTTGATTAAAAATATTCAAGATTGATTTGAAAAGTAAAACAAATCAATGAGTTAGCTAATGTTGAAGACATTTTAAAAATTCACTATTTGATTTGCAAACTCGAAAATTGTTTTATACATATATTTTTTTAATCTTAACATCTTAAGTAAACTTTTTTTTCATGTTTTAATCAAATTCTTATTTGCTTATGTTTTTCCAGATTTCTTTATAAGACCATCTCTAACGGTTAAGCAAAACCATCACTAAATTTGAATTTGGTGAAAAAAAGCAACTTTTTTTTTGCTCTAACAGTATTATCAAACTGATATCAAAATGAGAACCGCCCAAAAAATTCACGAAACTAAGGAGCTAAACAGATTTCACTAAAATATTGTTCGTTTACATTGGAGTGGGTCCCACCGGACAACTGGCCAGACATCCCACCGATCGTCCCTTGCGTACAAAAAATGCCAAGCTCCTGTGCAGTACTTCAGTGTTTGGTTGCCCTACGAACTGCTTCATAATTAGGTTGTTTTTATGGCACTAACAATTAATTCAAGATTGATATAGATTTAATTTTCTATCAAAATGCAACATGGAAAAGTTCTGTATCGATTCGAAGTTATATATATATAGAATGATATTTTTTCATAGAGGATTCATTTGTATATATATATATATACAGATTGATATTTTTTCATCTACCTTAATATGGAGGATTCATTTGTATATATATACAGATTATGAAGACGATTGATATTTGTTCATCTACCTCAATATAGAGGATTCATTTGTATATATATATATAACTTGTTTCAGGCAAATTTACAAGTCATCCTTAGGTCGACCCCCAAATTTACAGATTCATTTGTAAAAATTTACATTGACAGGGTCGACCCACAGGTCATCCCCTGAATCCATTTCCATCATGTTCTCTTTCTCAATTCTCATCTCTGAACCACTCTATACCTCCAATTCCAAGTCCATTTCCAATTCCAATTCCATGAGTATAGGTTGAACACCCAAGAGCTCAGTCTCAAATAGAAGATGAAGTCCATATTTCCATCTCTGTATTTTTATGTTCTTGTTGTTTTCAGTTTTGACTGGAAATAGTTTGATGGTGATATGTTGATTTGGAATTTAACAACAATCCTTATACATCATTTTACAAATCTCTCTCTAACTACCAAACCTCTCAATCTTTTTCAATTCCTCAATCTTCTAATTTTGTGTTCTTGTTAACTGCATATGTATATATACGTATTCTTGACTAACAGTTGTTCAATCTTTTTCAATTCCTCAATCTTCCAATATTCTTGACTGACAATTAAATTATGTAAAGATATATAATTTCTATATATACATATTCTGAAGAATTCTCATTGTCATCAATCTGAAGAATTCTTGTTTGAATTGAGGAAATAAAAATAAAGGGAAACAAAATCGAAATAGACATGAAGGGGAAAAAAAAAATTCAGTGGCGTAACCGGTCGACTGGCCGGTCATCCCACCGAACGTCCCCAGGCATTTGATGCAAGCAACAGTGTTCACCGTTGGAACAACTCGTATCAGATTGAAGAAAGAGCCTTTTTTTTCATCAAATTTGATGAAAAAAATAGTTCACAGTTGGAGATGCTTTAAATATTTTATTTTAGGTACGTCTAAAAATAATTTTTTTGACTTATGAAAATAAAATTTATGAAAGATTTTTAAAAAGTTAAAAATCAAACAAAATAAATTTTTTAATTTTAAATAAATTTAAGTAACTTATTAGTAAATTATATTACAATGAAAAGGCCACAATCACCCTAATTGACTCAATCTCTAAACCTCTAAACTTCTTACTACCCCAAAAAATAATTATATAGGTCATTGAACCAACTGTTTTATCCCAAAAAATCTTATTATTACTTAACTCAACTAGTTTATGTGCCAGTGGCCTATTAGAGTTATTACAAAGAAACAAACATAAAACAAAGTTTGGATATCTGTAGGTGGTTTTTGTTTGGAAGGATTCAAGTATGAAATAGGATTAATACTCCGTTGTTTGATTGAAAATTTTTACACCAGACTATAAATCCCAAATCTATGGGATAGTTCTATCCCATAGAGGTGTGGGACGCAATCCATAGGATAGCTCATGCCATGGGATCAGGTAGTAAAATTACATTTTTGAACCCAGGGGTGGGTGGCCTTGTGGTAAGTACATGGGGATTAAGCCCCCAGGTCATGAGTTCAAATCCTCCCTGGGCTAATCTCTTGGGCGTAGCACAGTTGGTTAGGAGATTAAACCTCAAGTTGTCTAACCAGCACTTGGTGTGGGTTCAATGCTCCCTCGCTGTGCGAGTCCTGACTTAAGCGGAGCTTGTCTTGGGAGGTCAGGGCAAGTTCCCAGGTTATAGTCTCCTCGCTCGGATCGGCTAACAGGACACCTTGGTGATCTCTACAAAGGGGCCGCTGCCTTGGACCTACAGGAGAGTAGGGAGGATTTTCCTGTGAAAAAAAAAAAAATACATTTTTGACCCTCTACTATTTAATATTTTTTTTAAAATAAAATTTATTTAATAAATTATTTATACTTAATAAATTTATTAAATTATTTATACTATTATACTTAATAAATTATTTATGCTTAATAAAATTTATTTAATAAATTGTTTATACTTTATTAAATTATTTATTTTAATAATATGGTATTAATTATACTTAGTAAGGTAAAATAAAATTCAAAAATCTCAACTACAAATTAAAATAAATTTATGTAATTTTTACTAATATTCTATTTATTTAATTTTCAAAAAAATTATAGTAAAAAAATAAAATAAAATTTATAATTCGGATTTAATATTCTTATTATTTAGTAAATAATTCAAAAGGACAAAATAATCTTTCGATCATTTATCATTCTTCATAATACCCCAAACAAATATAGGATTCAATAGAATAGTACAATCCAGACATCTAATCCCATGACTAAACAAACATAAGATATAAATCTAGTTCAACTAAATAGTCTTGGGATAATATATTCTAAATATAATAAATTATTTATGCTTAATAAAATTTATTTAATAAATTGTTTATACTTTATTAAATTATTTATTTTAATAATATGGTATTAATTATACTTAGTAAGGTAAAATAAAATTCAAAAATCTCAACTACAAATTAAAATAAATTTATGTAATTTTTACTAATATTCTATTTATTTAATTTTCAAAAAAATATAGTAAAAAAATAAAATAAAATTTATAATTCGGATTTAATATTCTTATTATTTAGTAAATAATTCAAAAGGACAAAATAATCTTTTGATCATTTATCATTCTTCATAATACCCCAAACAAATATAGGATTCAATAGAATAGTACAATCCAGATATCTAATCACATGACTAAACAAATATAAGATATAAATCTAGTTCAACTAAATAGTCCTGAGATAATGTATTCTAAACAAGGAAAATGAGTGAGAGCACTAATTAGTGCTACCACTAATGATGTGGCAGTGGGTTCCACCATGAATGATTTGATGTTTTTGCTTTGGTATTGTATTTTTTTTCTTTTTTTATTAAGTGTCATGTCATTAGTGATATTTTTAGAACTCTAAAATTAGTGGTCTCTATCATTGTTGTTCTAAACAACCAACCTAATAAATTACAATATCTTTTTATTATGTTGGTTCAAATAAACATACTCTTATAATGTCATTGTTTATAGTACAGCTTGTAACGTTAAAAATAAGATTATTTTAAGTCAAAACCTTAACCAAAATAAAAAAAAATTCACAATCAACCTCTTTTTCCATAAAATGACATTATTTTCATTTGAAGACGCATTACAGAGAATGCATTACAAAAACCCGAATCCATTCCCGAGATGATATTTGATTCCAAATTTTGGTTACCGGGCCTTATAGTTATCATATGATATGAGGCCGGCCCGGAGATTATTAACATATAAATAAATAAATAAATTTGTAAAATAGGTAATTAATTAAATTATTTAATAAATCAGTAAATGATACTACCCGCGGAAATACCGGTACAAACTTGGAACATCCGCTGCCAACATCCTTCTGACAGAGGAGAGAGAAAAAAATTGCTCTGAGAGTTTTAGAGAGAGAAAACAGAAAACAGAAAAAATACAAAAACAAAAACCAAAAACCAACAAATACAACTGTAGATACATATACATACATATAGAGAGAGAAAGAGAAGACGGGACAATTCCTTCTGGTTCTGGGTTAATCCGTCTGCAAATTCGGCTCCATAGAGAGAGAGTGCAGACGCAGCTGGTTTTTTATCTCAAGAATCCCCTTTCGTCTCCTTCTACTCTCTCTCTCTCTATCTCTCGTTGTACCCAAAACCCATCAACGATCTCTCATCTTCTCCACCTCTGTCACATTCAGTCAAATTGAAATTCAAACAATACCCATCATTTGTATTTGTATGTTTAGCTGTGTATTTGTTAAAGTATGAAATTTGGGTTTGGGTTTGGGTTTGGGTTTTGATGTCTTCGTCTCACATGGGTTGCGCGAAAAATCAATAGAAGAAGAGGGTAGTTATGATTGAAAACAATAACAACGATCCAAATTTTGGTCCATCTTCTTCTACAAACCTATCTATGTTCCAAAACAACCCTAAACAGAAGAGGGTTTATCAAGTGTGGAAGGGAAGCAATGTAAGTTTCTCTCTCTCTCTCTCTCTCTCTCTCTCTCTCTCTCTCTCTCTCTCTCTCTCTCTCTTAAGTCGCTCTATTCTATGTGATTGTTTTAATTCGTACTTGGGAACAATTTGGGTACTTTTCATTTCAATTCATTTTGTTCATCATATTGGTTTTGCAGGTTTCACATATATAATTTATTTATTTATTTATTTGTGAAGTTGGTTATGACTTATAAGGATTGATTTAGCTGCCAAAAATTTATTCTGTCAGTGGTCTTAGAGTTGTAACACTTGAAGAGCTAATAAAGTTTGTGAATTTGAAGCTGCTCTTTTAATTTTTAATTTTTTTTGGCAATCTTGTGATATAATCTTGATTCGTCACCGGCAATGGAAAATTCTGATTTTATCAAAGAAACAAAAGTTTCATACTTTCTTCCCATAATAAGTTCATACAGTCATTTAGCTTGGGTATGTCCAAGTTTTAATAATTTATATATTTATTCTCTTTCTCTTCGCTCCTCGCCATAGTAAACTATTGCTTGGTTGCATGTTTTGTTCGCTTTAAACCTTCAATAGAGAAATAGTAAATCAACTCAATCCGAATAAACTTATTCAATGGTCACTGCTAACCGCTTTGGTCCCAAATTTGGGGGTTTTTTTTTCTGTTTTCCCCAATAAACTTTGGTTCATATTTATTGTGATGCTCATGAATGATTCAAAATATTACAAAGATTTTCATCTTTGGATTGTTGGAGATGGACTTACTTCGATAGTTTGTGTAATGACTTTTGTTTCACTAATTACTACCACCATTCTAGATACGTCGTAGTTTATTGAGATAAAAGTTGGGAGGTTCAATCAGATAATCTCGTATGACGTTGTTATCTTTTCTTTCATATCTAGATTCTTTTTTTTTTTTTGGTTGTTGCCAACGTCTCAAAAGTAAAATGTGTTGGATTTTATTCCTGGTTTAAATCATGCTTTTTATTTTTGAGCTTTCATACATTGTGAGTTAAGCCTCTAGAATCTCAAAGAGCAAAAAGTTTGAATAAATGAATTAACCCTTTATGAAAATGCATGTTCAAGTCCTATATTAATATTCATATACATTTAATACCTTAGCTTGCTTAAATTAGCATTTCAAACACAACGTTTCCACATAATGTGGGTGAAGAATAGTTCACTAGCTTAGTTTGTCCTCCTAAGTTTATATTTTGACACGAAACACTTGATGATTGTTAAACCTTATGCAGATGTCATTTGTTGGTTTACAATTGAAATTATTGAATTAATGCGATTGTGACATTATGAATTTACAAAGCTTTTTCTTTCCTTTCTTTCCCTCCCATCTATCCATCTGCATTTTCCTTTGTTTATTTTATTTTCTTTTATTGATGTTGCCAGAAATTTCTATGTGGGGGAAGATTGATATTTGGTCCCGATGTAGCGTCTTTGTTTTTGTCCACATTCCTAATTGCAGGCCCTGCAATAGTTTTTTGTATAAAAATCTACCGCAATATCACTGAAAGCAAAGGCAAAGATTGGTATGTGGTGCTGGTTGTGGGATCTATCCTCACTATTTTGGTAAGTAATTTAATTTCACTCTGGTTTCCAGCAATTTTAACTACTCCCCACCCCCTTAAAGAAAAATAATAAAGGCAAAACAAAAAATGATATGCTATGTTGAAGAGTAAAATCTGTTTTCCAGATGGAAGTAATTTCCATACTTTGAGACCACTTTATCATGGTTCTCTTTGGTCTGACCCAATTTGAAAGTTGTCCGAAGTTGTAAAATTGTTAAAAGTCAAGAGGCATGAATATTGACATTATGTATTACTATGTAGAAAACATGTAATGGAATAAATATGAAAGAGATGAGTGGATTACTATGGTGGATGCCACTTAACTGTAACTGGACTGGAAATGAAATGCTCACATTTTGTCCTAAAACAGCATTTGCACCAAGTTTATTTTGATTTTCAAGCATTCGAATCATGGCCATTCCATTGCATGTGTAGGTTCTGTTGTATTAGAGACATTTTTCATCATTCATGCTTGAACTTGCTTTGGCCTTACCAACCATGTTGTCTTTATCTTTCCTTCTTGATGCCTCTACTCATTTATTTGAGATTGGTTGTTTTACCTGCTCATTTTGTCTCCAAACTTGCCTTGTTTTTTTGAGTGAGTTTTGAAGAGTATGAGTAGGTTTGTATTTAGGTCTTCAAGCAATGACTTCTTTGTGCTCAACAATAAAACAAAATAAGATTTTGTTGGGTCACTAACTGTTTCTTTCTTTGGTTCCCTTTTTCTTTGAAGAATTATTCCATATCTAGGTGGCTATCTGTATCATTCAAAGGGTGTGGAAACATAGTGGAATACGTACATTTTCATGTGCATGTTTTTCCAATTACCTATTTGCTGATACGTTCTTGATATGGACTGGTGGTTTTTGCTGTTGTTTTAGTTTTACTTTGGGTTAAAACCATATTGAATTCAACATTTTTTATATCTTCATGCAGGATATAACATTTCTCTTATTGACATCCAGTAGAGATCCAGGAATAGTGCCTAGAAACTTAAAGCCTCCTGAATCAGATGAAGCATATGATGCGGGTACCCCTTCGATGGAGTGGGTTAATGGTAGAACCCCTCATTTGACACTACCCCGAATGAAGGATGTGATTATCAATGGGCATACAGTTAAAGTGAAGTACTGTGATACTTGCTTGCTTTACCGTCCTCCCCGTGCTTCTCATTGCTCCATCTGCAATAACTGTGTTCAAAGATTTGACCATCACTGTCCATGGGTTGGTCAGTGCATTGGAGTAGTAAGTAATTTCTGGATGATCTTATCCTCAATGCTTGGAATACTTCTATGAAATGCTGCTATACAAGAAGTGATTCATTCATTTCTGCTATAAATTTTGTGGTCTGTATTTCGTCCACTTACAAATAGAAACTTGAACATAAATAAATGCACATTAAAGAAAAAAATTTCACAAAGAGGCACAGATGTTCTGTAATAATTATTTCTTTGTTGCATGCATTCTCTTAATTGTGTGAATGTGTGATTATTATTTTTTCTCCTTTGTGGAAATTGGATTTGAATTCCAGATGGGATGTTTTAAATTTGAATATCCATGTCATTTGATATCCTATACTATAGTCTTGTAGATAGGATGTCTTATAATTCTATGAAGTGCCATGAGAGACAGATAGGATGAACTCATTTTCATTTAGTCTACAAATAACCATGTAAATTATATACTTCTTATTTTCTTGCCAGAAGAACTAACAATCTTTTTTGCTGATCTGGTTGCAGCGTAATTATCGGTTCTTCTACATGTTCATATTAACATCAACAATCTTATGCATATACGTGTTTGTGTTTTCTTGGATCAACATTCTTCAACGAAAAGAACGCACTGTTTTGAAGGCCATGTCACGAGATTTCTTGTCAGATTTTCTCATAGTGTACTGCTTCATTGCTGTATGGTTTGTGGGTGGACTCACAGTTTTCCATTTCTATCTAACTTGCACAAACCAGGTGACCATTTTTCCTCAAAATGTACAGAATCAAGTGATTTTCAACTGTATAATTGTTATAATATTGTTTTAACATCTCTCACGCTGATGTCCGATGACAGTAACCAAAAGAAAATAAAAGAAAAGAAAGCCCACAATAGAGAAAATAAAAGAAACCCTAAATGGGCCTTCTATGTAATGCTTTTATAGACTGTGATATGGTTTTGGAAATGGGTTTCATTCATATGGATTTTTAAAGCATAGTGAACTATTAAGTTCTTAGAGAACTAATCATATGTGATGGGACCAATGGAGTAGTCAGGGACACTATGTTTAATAAGTTAAATATTAGTGTAGATAGGTTCATTGGAAGAGCCAAAGGATTCTCATATGTCAGCATAATATAATTTAGCTTTTTTCCAATTATCATTTCTTAGCTATATTTATGAACATAGACATATCTGGACATCTTCAAGTATGTACATATAACTGGAATTAATGCATTGTGCTTTTGGGGGTTTATATATTATGTGACTGTTGTGATTTGTTGTGATTTTTGAACTTGAGCAGACGACTTATGAGAACTTTCGTTATCGATATGACAAGAAGGAGAATCCATATAACAAGGGGACGATAAATAACCTTAGAGAAGTCTTTTTTTCCAAAATTCCACCTTCATTGAATGATTTCCGGGCATTAGTGCATGAATATGAAAATGTAGTGATGGAGTCCACAACTCCAAACCTTGTGGGAAGCCTTGGTAGCTCAAAAGAGAAGATTGATATTGAGATGGGAAATCTTGCTGAGGAGAGTGGCTATTCTCTTCCTGAAATTTTGCGCAATTTGAATTACGATGAAATAGAGGAAAATTTTAAATCTGACGGAGATGGAAGAATAGATTCGGAACCATATTTCTTTTCTGTTGAAGAGACAAGGCTTTCTACTCAGAGCTCCATGGCCGAAGAAGATGAGTCTCATGAAGAGGGTAAAACCGACATTGGGTGTAGCTCACATCAAACTATGGGGAGCTCCATTGTTGAAAACGGGACTGATGTAGAGGAGAGGGGTGATGAATCTCATCATACCACAACGACATCTCGTCAAGACTAAAGGTAAATAATGTTCAATTAGTAACATTTTATAATGTAAAACTTCGATTTTCTTTCTTAATATACTGTTAGGAATAGATACACCTAACCAAAATCGGTGAGAACACGAAATACAAACAGGAATAAAACAAGAATCCAAATCCAATACACAGATTTATGTGATTCACCCCAGTATAGTGTTTATGTTCACTGTGTGCATGCTTAAAAGTTTGATTCATTTACATGGTTAGAAACTGGTTCTTTGTGTTTGCAATAAACAATGATGCAGAAATGCTATGAGAAAAAAAAAATGGTAAAACTTTAATGTGGTTTACAATCACTTTCTAACCATGGTTAGTACATAATCCAAATTTTGGTACGTTATCTTCTTTTTTTTTTGCAAGTTATGTTATCTATCTTTGTCCCCATTATGTTCTCATTGTCTTTCTTATTTTATTTTATTTTTATGTTACTTTGTTTTTCCTCCTCTTTTTTTATTTGAACATGAAATTACCGTAGAAAAAAGAGATGTCGATTACAATGTTTTTTTTTTCTTTAACAGGTTTGCTTTGGGAAATCTTTTTATGGCAGAAATACAGTGATGTGGATGATGAGGATCGCTTGTTTTTTTCCTGGTGCCAGTATATTTTCGCTTGGGAGGCTATTTGAGCTCTCCAATTGGACAATTATACTGAAAATTTGAAAAGATTAGTCAAAAATATTTCAAACTCATGCTTGTTGTAAGTAGTAATTCATCTCAAAATAATGCAGGAACTTGCAACAGAACCAAGCAATCCTGTAAGGGTGAAAATGTTCAGTAGGTTCTCCCCCTATCTTCTCCTCTTTTTTTTTGTTTTTTGGGTTTTCTTTTATAATCATTGAGACTTGAATTGGAGATTTCTTTATTAGTTAGCCAGGGATTGTAGAATAAAGCAGATTGATGGTTGTTTGGAAGGTGAATTAGATTGAACCTTTTGCTGATTTCGTTCTCTTTTTGGTTTGTCATTCCTAAAGATTATTTTATGAGATGTACAGGTGATTTACACTACATTTGAAGGAAGCTTGTGTTTGTTATCGTTTTTGTTTTTTGTGTTTTGTTCTCAAAATCAGAAAACAAAAATTGAAAATGTGTTTCGCCAACTGTTTTGGGAAAATTGTATGGAAAGCCGTGTTTATTTATTTTTCTTTGGGTACATTTGTCATTATTTTTTTATTTTTTAAACCATAAAAAAAATGAAAATAACCTACAAAATATTAAAAATGAAGACGACTCTAAGAGCATAGTATCCACAGTGGGCTTCTAAGCTTGTATTATGAAAAAAAGATAAATTATAAATACACCCTCTAAGATTTAATTAAAATACGAATCATCCTCTGTGATTTTGAAAATTACATTTCACCTCCCTCAGGTTTTTAATTTTATAACAAATTATCTATTTTATTAATAAATTATCATGTCAATTAACAGTTTTTAATAATATTATAAAATATGTTTTAATTAATAATTTAGGTAATTTTATTATTGCATAGGAGAGCAATTATAAATTTTATTTTTTTAGTTAATTTTGTTAAATAAAAAATTCTAATAAGAGAGTATTTGTAATTTTTCAAATTATAAAGAATAATTTGTACTTTAAACAAATTTAAGAGTGTATTTATAATTTATCTATGAAAAAAAAAAAAAAAATTAACCTCTGGATCTAGACCAGAGACCAGTGCAAATGCTTTTACATTATCATTATTTTCTTTAATTCAAAGTAAATCGTTTTGTGTTTCATTCATTTGTAATAAAATAGGTTTATTTGGAAGTATTGGTGATGGCATGAGTGAAGTCGGAAAAAATTAAAATAAAGGTATTCTTTCTTTCCCTTCTTGCATATATATTATTTGGGAAATTCTAATATAAACCCTTTTAAAAAGAATAAATTTTATGCACTTTTAATTATATATATATTTTTTTAAAATTATGACCAAATTTTTTTTTAGTTATGACTTATAAATTATTTAATTATACCTCATATTATATTTAGTTATGATATTTATTTTTTTAATTATGATTCAAAAAATTAAAATTATATCACCTTTTTTTAATTATAAAATATATAGAGTGCACACATAATGTTTCCCAACTTATTATTGCGTGCATTTATTAATTAATTCAAAAATGATTTTTCTCCTGATTTCCACCCTCCCCCAAACAGCCCGAAACAGATAGAAGAAAAAGAGAAAGAGAAAGAGAGAAAGAGAAGAGAGAATAGAGAGAGAGAGAGGGCCCCTCCTCCGCCTCCGCCGCCGCCGATCAATGGCAGATCGACCGGTCGATCGTCGCAGCAGCTCGTCTCTTTCGATCTCTCTGTCTCTCTCTCTCTGCTACTTCTTCTTCCTTCTTCTTCTTCTTTTCTGATTGAAAAAAAAAAAATTCAAAACGACGAAACGATGTCGTTTTTGGATTCGAGGGGATTCAGAGATCTCTCTTTCGAGCTACGTAGCACAACTGTTAATTAATTATGGTCCGTTTGTTTTCAGACGTAGAATGGAGGGGATTAATAGTGAGGGAATTAAGTAAATTGTATTTGTTTTGATAATAGTTGTTAATGTAAGAATTGTTAAATTATTTTTACATAAAATAAAAAAAAAATACAAAAAATTAAACATTAATGTTCAAAAAAAAATTCCCAATATGTAAAAAATAAAAAAATAATAAAAAAATTTCTAATATTCTCACTATTTTTCTAATACCACCTCCACCTCCACCTCCACCTCCACCTCCACCTCCTTCATCTCAATCCCCCTTCCAATCTCCATCTTAATCCCCTCCTCCATCCTAATCCATTTCCTAACTCTATAAACAAACACAACACTAAGCCTCACCTCCATCTTAATTTCATTCCATTCATTACACCCTAAACACAAACGAGGCCATGTGTATTGACAAGAGTGATATTTAGTTAAAAAAAACATTAACTTCGCAAGATAGAGTACACCAATGTAATAAGTAATGATTAATTGTTTAAATTAATGGTAGATCGAGAAATAAAATGACACAAATATAATAATTTGAGGAATAAATTGAATTTTTCCACCCCTCCAATAACATATAAACAAGAGGCAAGAGAGTAACCAAACAACAGCTACAGTAATATTACAAACATTAACAAATATATTAATTAACATCCATCTATCTATACTATGGTGGTCCATTTGGAAATAAATTATTTTAATTGATTATGTAATTTCTTGAGAAAAGACACCAAAAAAAGTAAAGAGTGATGTAACAGTGTTTTATTTTATTGATTATTTTAACCTAAGATGAGTTATTTTAACTCATCCCAATTTTAACCCATCCCAATATATAAAGGGAATGCCAAATGTAACACTAACTAGTTTGTCCAAAATACTCCAATATAACTGACATGTTTTTTTGTAATTTAAGATCAAAGTCAAATTTAAATCAAAATTCATAGCTTATTATAGGTTTAATAGCATACTTATCAAGTGTGCATACCCCATTAGTATTAACAAATATAAGGTTTATATGTGAGTTTCACTACTTGACAGCCTATACCTAGTTAACAAGTTTGTTGAAATATTTACTTGTGTTTTTTAACACTATTAAACAACTATTGACTAAAAATAAAAATAAAAATAAAATCCCATTTTGTTTTTTGTTTTTTTTTTTTTTAGGGGGGTGTTGGTTAGGAAGCAACCATTTAATCTGATTGGATAAATTATGTACCAAACTTGTAATATAAATGATTAATAATTTATTCATCAAATTTATTCAATTTAAATTCGTTTGAATGAGTTTCAAATCTTCAAAATGGGAAATTCTGACTCATTCGAATAAATTTAAATAAAATAAATTTAATAGAGGTATCAGTGCTAAATATAAATTGTGGAATAAGAGAATCAAAGTGCAAGCAAACAACAATGATTCATCCCACTAAAAAATCATCACTAATAGCACTAACGTATTAAAAAAGTAAAAAAAAAATAAAAAAAAAATACAACTCCAAGACTAAAACATCACATCATTAATAATGAGACCCACTGCCACCTAATTAGTGGGAGTGCTCCCAAGCATTTTTCGCAAGCAAATGAAGACCACACAAGTCCATTGTAGTCCAAGTGGAGCACCATATATCTCACAACCCATGAGAATCAAGCTAGCCCATCACCATCTTCCACGTGTCAATTACCCATTTAAACTCACAGATTTCATTGGATGAGATCATATCATCACCTCACCAGCATTCTTATAAAATTCAATCCCTTCCCACCCCACCCATCTCCTAAATTGCAACCTTCACAGAGCTCCAACAATGGCAGCAGAGATGGCCTTAGTAAAACCCATCTCCATCTCCAAATTCAATCTAACCAGAACCCCCACCACCACCACCAAATTCTCCACCACCACCACCGCCATGTCCGCCACCACCACCACCACCACGACGGGGCCAATCAGGGCAAAGGCGGCGAAGAAGGGGATAAAGGAGAGTCTACTGACGCCGAGGTTTTACACCACGGATTTTGATGAAATGGAGATGCTGTTTAACACGGAGATTAATAAGAAGCTGAATCAGGAGGAGTTTGAAGCTTTGTTGCAGGAATTCAAGACGGATTACAATCAGACGCATTTTGTGAGGAACAAGGAGTTCAAGGAGGCTGCTGATCAGATGCAGGGACCTCTTCGCCAGATCTTTGTTGAGTTTTTGGAGAGGTCTTGTACTGCTGAGTTCTCTGGTTTTCTTCTCTACAAAGAACTCGGAAGAAGACTCAAGGTGAGTCACTCACTCACTCACTCACTCACTCCTAGCTCCATTTTCTCTCTCTTTGATTTATGAAAATTATGACTAACTGTGGTTTTTCAGGTAATTTATGGGTCAATTTTACTTTTATTTCTTAATTTTTTTCACTTTTGGGTAAATTACATTCACTTCTCATGTGTTTTGAAAAATAATTATCATAATTATATGCGGCTCTCTTGTAATCTAAATAAAGTCACATAATATTTAATCTCTTTTTAATCAATAATTTTTTTGATCATAAAAATAAAAAGAATGATATTATCATCACTTTTAAATTGACATATATATTTTATTTATTTATTTTATGGTTTCATACCATCTAACTTAACTTTAAATGGAGGGTTATGTTTATGCCTTGTTGTTTTGTAGTTATAAGCAGCGTATCATAATCGTTCTCTCTGTAATTATGTTAGAAGTGTAGAACATTTTTTTTTAATTTAAAAAAGTGTGTTGTATTTCACTTATAAAGTATCAATTTCATAGTTCATTATGAGTTATATCAATCTTCATAGATTTTTTTTGTTTGAGTGACTAACATTGAATTGGATTATGCAGAAAACCAACCCTGTGGTGGCCGAGATTTTCTCTCTCATGTCTAGAGATGAAGCCAGGCATGCTGGGTACGCATACCACCACCTTCAATAATTTTTTTTTAAACTCTCTCTCAGTATATGAAATTCCCACAATTTTATTGTTAGAAGTGTATTGAAATAGTTGAATAGAAAGATTTGGAGATAGAGGTTCCTTAACCTTTTTCTCCTTGAGATTCTCTATTCTCAAATTTCTATGCTGCTTGCCTTATTATACTTCTAATCGTTAAATTATTTCTCAAAATTCCCAACGGTTAGAGTGGGTTTGGGTCTACAGGATTCTCACCATATTCTTTGGCCATGGATCCTTTGTCTCTAAATTTTTTCATCTCCACCAATGTATTTCTAACTATAGAGTCATGTTTCGAAATACTGGTACTTTAAATTCTCAGAATGATTTGTGGATAGGAGATCTGTGTTCTCTCAGCCATATTGGTGAAGTTATAACTCGTAGCTACTAATTTTAAAAGAGAAAAATGAAAATGCATTATTGTTGAAATGCAATTTTTTTCTTGCAGGTTCTTGAACAAGGGATTATCTGATTTCAATTTGGCACTCGACTTGGGATTCTTGACAAAGGCAAGAAAGTACACATTCTTCAAGCCAAAGTTCATATTCTATGCAACATATCTAAGTGAGAAAATTGGATACTGGAGGTACATAACCATATACAGGCATCTGAAGGCGAATCCAGAGTACCAATGCTATCCCATCTTCAAGTACTTTGAGAACTGGTGCCAGGATGAGAACCGCCATGGCGATTTCTTCTCTGCTCTGATGAAGGCTCAGCCCCAGTTCCTCAATGACTGGAAGGCTAAGTTGTGGGCTCGCTTCTTCTGCCTCTCGGTATCATTCTTTCATCCTCAACTATAACTCTATAATCTTACTTTTACTTTTATTAAAAAACAATTATATGTCGCACTTTTTTCAATATACGAAGTTCTAGATGAGGGTTTGTGGGCTTACTTTGGATCCTGAATTGTTTAGCTTGTAGAGTTTGTTGAGCGTAGTATTCATTCAAAAAATCGGATTAATTAGACATTATTGATAGCCTACATAATTGAATCATGATTTAGTCATAAGAGTTATGCTATTTGAGCAATTTGTACTTTTACATGAATAATTTGCTTGATGGACTCTACAAAATGGACAGTTTGAGTTTAGCAAACTATGTTTGTGGTGTGCAGGTATATGTGACAATGTACCTCAACGATTGCCAACGCACAGCTTTCTACGAAGGCATTGGCCTCAACACCAAAGAATTCGACATGCATGTCATCATCGAGGTTATTTTCTCCTCTTAAATTCGAATTTCAATAACCACAATTTGTTCTTTCAAATTCAAACCATCACAACACACATTTCATCAAGTTGAGTTTTCACAACTGTACTATTGTTTTATTTTTATTTTTTTTGGCAGACGAACAGGACAACTGCAAGGATATTTCCGGCAGTGCCGGATGTTGAGAATCCAGAGTTCAAGAGAAAGCTAGATCGGATGGTGGAGATCAACCAGAAGCTGATAGCAGTTGGGGATAGCGAAGACATTGGTTTGGTGAAGAACTTGAAAAGGATTCCTCTGATTGCTGCACTTGCTTCTGAACTCTTGGCCGCATATACAATGCCACCCATTGAATCAGGATCAGTTGATTTTGCAGAGTTCGAACCTCAACTTGTTTACTGAACAACACTTTTTGGGAGAAAATTTGTTTTAATTAGTCTCTTTTCTTCAGATTGTTGTATGAGTCTGTAGTTTACTGTTTGTAATCACCACAAACTCTGTACTGCATTATTGGATAATTAAATTGAGGAAACACTGTTGTAAAGAGGGCAACCCCTACTTTTGTTAGTATATTGTGGTAGAAATTTGGATCATATTATCTAATGCCATATAATTAATAATTTTTACAGCTTTTTAATAATTGATATGAGGAATCAATCTATAATATTGAGTGCATCTCATGAAATCAAAATTTTATTACTTCAAAATAAATCAAAGAGTTTTACGTAGTCAGACCTTTAAGGATACGATTCTATCTTTCAAAAACACCATTTTGTTTTAAACATCATGCATTGGATGGTGAATCAAGAAACTATTTTACATTAGTATTTCACAAAAGGGCTCATATTTTGACCAAATTTATAATATTTACTATAATAATCGCTACCTCTATTAAACATCACCACCTTAATGCTATGTTTTGTTGAAAATTTTGTAAAGGAATTTGAAAAGAAAAAGAGAAAAAGTAGCTAAAATATGAATAAAACTCAGCACAACGTAATTACATTCCTACATTGCTTTTTTAACTTCCATTTGGAAAATTTTGTATTTACCAAAAGTTAACGACATTAAGATGTTGGATTCATAGACAACGGTAACATCTCCTAGGGGAGGCTCTAAGCGCATCTTAGCACCCAAACACTATTCTAAGGGCCCTCGAGGTAAAATTAGCATTGAATCCATTCATTCCCCATGTCCACGACCGTGATAAGCGAAAGAGGGAACCATGTATCGAAGACACCTTCACCTTCCGCGATTCCAGCATTTTTCGATCTCCTCAATGACGGGCTCTTCTACTCCAATAATTAGTTGTTTGTGCTATTGCTTTTATAGATTTCTGGTTTCTATGCAGGAGTTCGACGTTTTTCAGGTGGCATTTCTGGAGTTTCTTCATTTTTGTTTGGACTATGATTTGCTTAGGATTTGGTTCCTTGCTGTCTTTTATGTTTGGTTGTCTTAACCCTCCTTTTCTTTTTTAGAGTCTGCTAACTGTTTGTATGTTGGAAACTTTGTTTCATGTTGCCTTATTAATGCAGTTTATCATTCCTCACCAAAAAAAATTAAAAAATAAATAAATAAATAAAAAAGAAGAAGAATAATCATAAAGGGAAAAGTCATCAATGAAGGAAATAATCCTTTAAGCAATTCACACCTGTATTAAAACATCCAAAATCAAGTGAAGGAAGGATATCATTCTAATCAATCTTTCTATTTTATTTTATTTTATTTTTTGGATCAAGAATTTTCTTTCCGACATTCTCAACACAAGGACTAAATTTTATTTGCATATACCATTATCTAGATAATCATTGCCAACCACGTGAGAATTATACATTATTTGAATATTCCAATTACTGAAATTAAAGGATAATTTATCAAGTTCCGACATAAAAATCAAATTCCATCTCATAATCAGTACACATACTGCATCTTCTAAAATAAGGGAGCAACTAGCAACTTCCCTAACAACTCAATATAAACTCGATATCAATTTCAGGCTCCATTTCCTACGCTAACCAGAGACTTCTTATCAATCAATCACTTTCGTTCCTCTTCTATTTATATATTTTCATTAGGGCTAATTTAAATTAATCAAGAACAACTGGCCCTTTGATTGGCCAAAGTATATGACTGAACTGGGTATCAGACGAATTAATCTATCAAGTTTCAAGTGTTTTCACTGATTTTCTTTCTTATCACATATCCATTCCGAGTTTCCGACACAGCCTGCAGAAAACTTTTGAACCTGATATTTATGCTGTTCTTGGTGTGCATGTGGAGAGAAAGAGAGAGGATCAGAGAGAACCAGTTGCTTGAATCAACAATGCAAATCAATACTTACAAATTGGATGGCCAAAAGGAATTCAAATGCAGAAAACAGAGTGAATTCCTCCCGTCCAATCTCCTGGTGGGCTTAGCGTATGCATGCTCACCTCCAATACTTACAGATTTAAAATTACAACAGACTCAAATGCAGATTGAGAGGTATCAACTTTATTCTGATTTTTTAATCTTCGTGTTTGTCTTCTCTTCTTTGGGCGGTTGGACTAGCAGCTTGAACGTCCATACTGCCAGTAGAGTTGCCTCCATTGGAGCAAGCCAGTAAACAAGTATATGTTCCTTTCCCAAATGTTCCCCACGAGCATAAGCCCAACCCATCACCTAGGAAACGCAGAACACTGTAACCTCACTCGTACTAAAATATTTTTCAAATCTTAAACAACTTAACAAGAAAAGAAATCAAAGACTAAAATTGAAAGTACTTACAGAGGCTGGGTTCATACATCCACCGGTTAGATCGGAACCAAGTATATGAAGAGAAAGCTTGGAGACACTGGAGATCCAAGTTTTCCTATAAAAACTTCCAGGGATGTTTCTGGAAAGCCCGAGCGAGATCATCACAATAGCAAATGTCAGAAATCCCTCCGTCAATGCACCTCGGTGGATGTCAACCTTCAGACTTGGCCCACGGCCTATTTCAGGAAAGGTCCCAATGATGAGCTTAACCCCAGTAATAGCTCCAAACACCTAAAAAACATATAAAAAGGAAAAAGAAAAAAAAAGTACATTAGAATTCACCATGTTAATTTGCAAGTCATTTCGTAACCAAAGGTAAGCTTCTCTATTTCTAAACCCTTTTTTTTTAGTTTTAAATGTGCAATATTACAAGTCACGGGAGGTCCCTTTTTTTTTCATTTGTAAATTAAATTCCTCTTTCAACAAAATCTGTGCCATTTTAAAGCCATATCTTCTCATAACGTTGTCCCAAAACTGGGAGGAAGCTAGTTGGCCTTACAAATTTGGAGACGCCATTCTCAGATGTATGTCAAACTAATACATTTTTTCGGATAGCAAGCAAAACTAAAATATTTAGGACAAGTTTTTGTTAAGTTTAATCATTACTTTTTCCTTTTTCAACAAATTGAGAGGTAGCTAACTCAAGTACACTAACGGAACGCCAATTCAGTGTCCTCATGATGCACTACAAAAGCATCACACTGGTCGATGAAAATTCAAGCAACCCAATGATTAGGTTTGTTACATTCATAACAATCTAAAATATTCAGTTTCAGTTTTCAAAAAACGTTAGCAACAATTTATTTATTTATTATAACAAAAGGGAACTACACAAAATTTGGTGGGACAGGCAACAATAAAACTATTTTTTGGACCCAATCCATCAGCCAGCACCCCGCATTGTGAAGATCAATGAGTTACGGTGATGTGGCACAGCTTTGAATACTCAAATATAGAAGGCTTGTCAACGAGTTTAAGTGATACAAGAAGAGTGCAGGGTTTGTAGATGAAGAAAAAGCAAAATTGGGTTGATATTCAAACTTGCAGCTTGTAAGTTTTTCGGAGAACTAGGGATTTTAACGCTCTGGATGGCAACCAAACTGTGGGGTTTTGGGGTTAAAACCAAGGTCTAAGATAGGATAAGAGGTTACGGTTTATTAGGTCTTAATATGAAAGAATTTCAAGGTTAAAAAGGAAGTTGTTCTATAGCTATGAATAGTAACCTGAGAATAGTAATCAGAGAACAAAACGAATCATGCCCAACTCAAACATCCATCCAAAAACAAATATTCCCCTATTTCCCACAACAAAATGACCAAATCCTTAGAATGAATCCAAACCAGGAAAAAGGCATTTTCAGGGACAAAGTTGAAATGAACCCACGTTGAAAACCTTTAACTTCCATTCTTGCTTCAAATAAATTAGATAAATTCTTAGTTCTGTAATCAATATATCAATTACGTCTCCACAAGCAATACCAAATAAATTAAAAAACTCAGGATCCTAGTAATTAAAGGACAAATTTTGTACTATGACGAATTCCCCATACGAAGCAAGCGCCTCGCACTCATGACAACTTTCTAGCATCCACTTCTGTAAAATCACCATAAACTTCCCTATATGATGCAAATAACCCATCATGCCCACAACTTCCCGTGTATCATACACGTAAATAAAGAAGACAATATCTTTAATGATTTCACCACATAAAGTAAAAACAAATCCCAAGGGAGAGAAACCTAATCAGCATCTTAGTTACTCTACTGAAACAAAAAGCAAAGCTCAACAGAAGGATAAGCTAATAAACTCCCCACTTCGATAAACCATCACCTAGTTTTTGTCTCATGTCTAATGAAGAACCATAGCACCCTTGATGACTAGCCTAAGGAAATTCAAAGACCAACCAATACAATTCAAGATAACCAACAGCAAAATTCAAAAAAAATAGTAAATTAATGGAACTTAAAAGCTGTTAAAGAAAGACAGCTCAATTAGAAGGCAAGTCGAATCACAATTCCTTCAAACTAAGGTCAAACCAAACTTAGACTTTAATTAATCAAAACCGAATCAAGCAACAATTGGTTCACAAAAGTAAAGTAAAAAATCCAAAAACAAAAAAAAACAAAGGAAAAAAAAAAAAAAAAAACCCATACTTCATATTTTCAAGGATCATGCTAATGACAGGCTTGCTGTTAAGATGAAGAAAATGCCAAGATATTTAAAATTTCAATATACCTTTTACATATTCCTACACTTTGACATATTTCTATACAATTTAATACACTTTTTTACATATAAATTGATAAAAGTAGCCTTTTTTAAACACAATTAAAACACAAAACAAAAAACCCATAATTTCCAAGTAAATAAACCAACACAATTCAATCAAAGGTATGGAATATTCCCAAAACCAATTATTCCAATCAAAACCCATCTCAAAATTTAAAAAAACAAAAACAAAAACAAAAACAAAAACAAAAACAAAATTAAGCATGAAATCGAAAGCTAACCTGAGCAGGAATTCTGGCACCAACAGTGAAGAGGAATCGACTGAAATCCCCAGAAATTGCACTTGCCAAGACGGTGAGAGGATTATAGGTCGCGCCTTTTGTGATTTTACCCAAATATGCGAAGAAGAACATGTTGAGGATGGAGAGAACACACTTGATGGCTTCAGCCTTGGGTTCATGGAATCCTAACCCTAGAAAGCTGTGAACGAACATCCTGATGAGAACACCAGACCAAACCCACATGAAAGATTGCATGAAATCTAAGACGATTAGCCTCATTGCACCTCCACCACGACCTACAGCACCAGCCATTTTCTCTCTCTCTCTCTCTCTCTCTCTCTCTCGTCAACAACACTGGTTAAATTGGAATAACTGATTTTTATAACTATTTATTTACTTTTGGGAACCACTGGTTCGATGTTGTTATTGTAATGTCTTTCTTTGCGTGGAAATTCAAAGAAGTTATCGGACACACGGGTTTGGGAATGCTCCCAGCAGGATTCTCTCAATTTCGTTGTTACCTCTACTAATTAATATATTAATATATATTATAATATTATTATTATCATATTATAAATTATAAATATTTTAAAATTATATCACATATGCATATAATTTTATTTTCTTAATTTATTAATACGTATTAAATTTTAAAATAAAATATTATTTTTTATAATATATATTAATTAATTATACGTATTCTTATTATTTAAATTGATTTATTTTTTTCTTAAGTTTTAATTATTTTTGTTTGTTCTTTCCTTACTTTAAAACTCTAATTGATCTCACAAAAATTCACTATTATTATCAATATCATTATTTTTTATTATATTATTACTTGCAGATAAAAGAAAATTTGAATAAAATCAAATAATGAATGAGAGTAATAATTAAAATAATTTTTTAAAACAACTTATCTAAAAGGAGATAAGCATTCACATAAATATCAAAGTACAATTATTGATTTATGATTTTTTTTTACATAAAAACGAATATTCAACCTGTTTTTGTTATTCTTGTTCGGATTTTCAGAACTGAACAAATTCGCTTTGTTCGATTTTGAAAGTCCGAACAAATTTACTTTGTTCGATTCTAAGTCCGAACGCGAAATTCATCATCTCCTTCTCCTTCTCTGGTGCCCAGTTCCGTGGTCGTATTCCCTATATGTATGTGAACAAAAGAAACATTTTTCAAAAGATTTTTTTATATTAACTTGAATTTTTTAATTTGTGTTATTTGAGTGTGCCTTTTTTTTTTTTTTTTTTTGAACGAATTCGAGTGTACCTCAAAAGAGTAATTTGGAGGGCCAAAAAAAAAAAAGGGTGTACTAAGAATAAATTATAACCCTAAATAATTTAATAGGGTGTACTAAAAAATTAAATTCAATCACAATTCAAATAGAACTATACTTCCTAAGAAACATGATTATAATCACAATTCAATCCACAAATCACAATCGATTGATTATCTCCTATCATAGCAAAGAAATTATAAAAAATAATTTATTGAAACAAAATTAGGAAAAAATTATTTATTCCACTAAAATTTAATAAATAAAAAAGGTAAAAAAAAATTAGGAAAAATTTATTATTCCACTAAAATCTGATAAGAAAGAAGGTAGAAAAAAATTAGAACAAATTTATTTATTCCATTAAAATCTGATAGTAAGAGAGAGATGAGACTTACTGGAAGACTTACTGTATGAGAGAGAGAGTGAGTCACCGTTGTTGATAATTTCCAATCAATTTTTGTCGTTGCTCAGTGCTCTGCTTATGCCTGATATGCTTCATTTCCTTCATCACTTTGTGAGAGAGATTGAGAGCTTGTATGTGTTGATCGTCCTGAGCCACAACACTTTTTGTAGATATTTTAATTTTAATTAGGGCAAATCACACTTATAAATAAATATGGTCCAACAAACTGTTATTGAGCCCTTTGAATTGGTTTAACAACAATAATTTGGGTCAATTTAAATTTGTAATATATTATAATACTTTATTAAATTTAAGGCTCGTATTTTGGGCCAATTTTTTGGGGCCTAAGGCACAGGCCTCAATGGTCTTTGCCCAGGGCCAGGATGCCTTTCTTCCATTCTATGTCTCATAGTTCTGTACATATATATGTGTGTATATATATATATATAAGTTTAAATTTGTTATTTTGCAATTTTATTTTATTTTTCATAATATTTTTTTATGAAGGGTGGCAATTGGTTCAATGGTTAAGACTTGGAGTCTTGGGACCACTACTTTGTGCATTGTGCCAAGGGTTAGGTGTGTACTCAATCTTTTCTTTTCCAAACACACATTAATGTGTACTAATTGAGTTTTTTTTTTTATAATATTATTTGTTAGATATTCGATCAACCGAACCGACCACCAAACCGAACTCCTTGATTCGGTCAATTTTGAACAGTAATTCAGTCGATGACGGATGGTTGATATCCTAACTCGAATGTTTCGGTTCAGCTAGCGGGTCAAGGATAAACCCAAGCTGAATTGACCCGTGCATACCCCTAATAACAATGACCCAAAATTCTTATGTAATTTCCAAAAGCCGACCACGCCAATTATTTTACCAAAAAAGCTAAGGGGTAAAATAGGAAATTCAGAAACAAGCTAAGGGCAAAATAGGCAACCCAAGACAAACCTTCTCAACCAAAGCAATCAAAATTTCTTACATAATTTCCAAATGGTCACTACCCAAATTGTTTCACCAAGCTAAAGGGCAAAATAACAAATATCAAAACAAGCTAAGGACAAAATTAGAACAAAAAAACAGCCCACAGGCAGGAAAGTGATTAATTTCCAAGAGGCCACTGCCCAAATTGTTTGACCAAGCTAAAGGGCAAAATAACAAATTTCAAAACAAGCTAAGGACAAAATTAGAAAGAATTTCTCTGGATAGAAATTTTTTGACAAACTAATTACTACCAAATCTGTGAAATGAAAAAATTCATTCTGCACTCTCCTTATGATAATTTATATATAAATGAGTCAAAAACATAAACAAAAAGTCACATTACCCATGATAATAGAGAACTCCCTTCAACCAAAACCGAATCTGAAAGCAAAATACTTGATCCAAATCTTCACATCATCTGATGCAACATAAGTCCTTGATTAGCCAGCACCAACAAGAGAAGATGGAATAGTTGCTGAAAAAATGTAGTCAAAACCATAAGTAGAATGAAAATGTAGAACAAGGGATGAGAAAATCCTTCAATTGTGAATATATATATATATATATATAACTATGACTGCCAATTAGGTGGAAGGGAAGAAAAGGGAAGGAAATGGAGAAGGTATGGAGGAAGCTGCTGTGAGGAGGGGAGGGAAAGAAAATGGAAGGAAAGGGAGAAAGTATGGAGGAAGCTGTTGTGAAAATTGAAAAGGAAATGGAGAAGGTTGGTCCAGAGAAAATGAATGAAGAATTTCTCTGGATCACTCTAAGCCAAAGAAATTCTCTCAAAATCAATGAAATTCCTAAAGAAACATTTCCAGAGAAATTCTCTTTAACCTAGAGAAATTCCTTTCCAACTCAAAAAAATTCACAAAAACTCAAAAAATTTCAAAAAAATCACAAAAACCCAGAGAAATTTCCCTTGCATGATTTCCTCAAAAACTCACTTCAGATTGATGTCCATGGGATTTGAATGATGGATAGGCAGACAAAACACAGGTGTGAAAACTATGAACTGCAAGTCGGCACAGAGAAAATTCATATGTCCAGAGAAAATTCACAGTCCAGAGAAAATTCATTAACGTCCAAGGGGCATCACGATCTCAGAGAACACACTTCAAATTTGCAAAGCATAAATGTTACAGACAATTTCATCAATGTCCAAGGGGCATCACGATCTCAGAGAACTCAATTCCAGGAGTTGCATCTGAGTTGTTCCTTGTGCCCATTGTGGCGATGTGAAAATCCATGTTGTTTAGTACTTCAACCTTACCTGTTTCGACACCAGTTTGAAGTTTCAAAGGCAACTCTAGGTTCCAGAGAACCTCACCTATAGTCGGTCTCTCTACACTATGTTTGGCCAAGCAATTCATGGCAATTTCCAAAAAACTTCACAAATGACTCTTGATGTTGTTCCTTTCATACTTGTGTCTACAATCTGGTCCGCGGTACCATTATGGAAGTGAGATGATACCCACTCTACTAAGTTTACATCTTCCTCTTCTGCTACGGGATTCATTACCGACTTCGCAGAAAGCACTTCTAGCAATACCACACCAAATGAGTAAACATCTGCCCTGTGATCCGGAAGTCTCTGTAGCACTTGGAACACAAGTTCATCGTCGCCGCTGAGCCGAAGAAGCCACACCCATTGGCGTGAGATCACAAACAGCGCATTCGAACCATCTTCTATGATGGTGAAATGCGATCCTCGCCATGGCAAATACATGGCTTGTTGTCTGATGTACAGAGGCGATGTGGTGCCCAAAGACGTGAATGCTGCGGTGGCAACCATCTGAGGAAGATGTTACCTGTCGGAGCTCTATTGCCTAACGAAGAACAGCTCGATTACTCCATCGTGATTGAGTACGACAGCCCTCCTGTGCCTTACCAGGTCCCCAAGGTCGATCCATTAGACGTCGATTCCATCTCCATTCGCACCACTTCAATCGTTTCTGTTTCCGAATGCGTACCAGTTGTCCCTGTTGCTGTCCCGACCTTCGATAGTTTCGGGACAAAGAGTCAAATTTCTCTGATACATGTTTAGGGACCTTAGACATCAAAAAATAATTTTGTGGATCTCTTCCATTACGAAAAGTGGGAGAAGGACCTTAGGCCAATTTTCCCTTTTTGTTATTCTTGTTCGAATTTTCAAAACTGAACAAATTCGCTTTGTTCGGTTTTGAAAGTCCGAACAAATTTACTTTGTTCGATTCTAAGTCCGAGCGCGAAATTCATCATCTCCTTCTCCTTCTCCAGTGCCCAGTTCCCTGGTCGTATTCTCTATATGTACATGAACAAAAGAAACATTTTTCAAAAGATTTTTTATATTAACTTGAATTTTTTAATTTGTGTTATTTGAGTGTGCCTTTTTTTTTTTTAAAATAATTTTAATTTTTAAATTTGTTTTATTTGGATGTACCTCAAAAAAAAAAAAAAAAGGGGTGTACTAAGAATAAATTATAACCCTAAATAATTTAATAGGGTGTACTAAAAAATTAGATTCAATCACAATTCAAATAGAACTATACTTCCTAGGAAACATGACTATAATCACAATTCAATCCACAAATCACAATCGACTGATTATCTCCTATCATAGCAAAGAAATTATAAAAAATAATTTATTGAAACAAAATTAGGAAAAAATTATTTATTCCACTAAAATTTAATAAATAAAAAAGGTAAAAAAAATTAGGAAAAATTTATTATTCCACTAAAATCTGATAAGAAAGAAGGTAGAAAAAAATTAGGGCAAATTTATTTATTCCATTAAAATCTGATAGTAAGAGAGAGAGATGAGACTTACT